AAACCACTTGTACATTTGTCCAAATGGAAGAGGCCATCCCAAAAATCACAAAAGCATCAGCTGAAAGTACGTGGCACTCAGTTGGACAAAAGACCTAGTTCCCATCTAAGCCATATTTGTAGTAAACGGACCAAGTTCAAGTCAAAGCTGCCCCAGATAAGTGACCACGTATCTTATAGCTTTTGTCATCCTTTTGTCAGACTTTGTCCCATCTTCTATAGTAATGGTGAACTCATTCTCCAGGTGTTAATCCTTCTAAGGTGATGCCACATTGATGGAAGAGCATATGCTTTGGCATTCTTTCAGATTTAATCCCTGGCATCTCTAGGTAGGACTGAGAAAGACCCATGGCAAAATACTGGATAGTTGTAAATAGTGAGCTTTTCTACATGAGGCTGTTAATCTGCTGTACTTGCTTTCTGTTTTGTCACAGAATTGAGAACTGAATGCTCACACAAATATTTCCTTTCTTGCTTTTCCTCTAGGTGTAGTGGAGAAGCTGAATAACACTAATACACAAGTAAAATGTTTTCATTTTTACATTTAAATGCAGCATTTCCCTTTTCTTTAGGCACAGAAATGAATCCAGAGGGTCACAAAATTGTCTAAAGGAAGAGTCTGTAAATATCTGTGCACAAGGAATGATGAATGCATGATTAATGTCTCATGTAGAAAAGCCCAGTGCAAACAATAGAGTTAGATTACCAAAATGGCACCATCCACATACAAGAGGATGGCTTGGGAAATGCCAAGGTTTGAAGAAAGGAAACACAAAACAGAGAGCCTACTGAGTTCCAAGCTTGTTGACAGGCAGTTGCCAGGAGAGAGAATGAAATATTGTTGACAACAACACAGCTTTGCTGCCTGGAATCCTGAGGAGACGCACCCCATGCCGCAACGTTTTGCTGCAGTTCCAACTTGCTTAACTTCTACATCTCCTGTCACACTAGAATCTGGACACAAATAGATCTGTACATTCGGTTGAGAGATGAATCAGAGTCACCTGTCTTGACAGGCCAGACTGAGAATCTACCTAGCAATACAACATTCTCTCTCCTGACACTGGGCAGAGGCTCTCAGACAAGACCTGACAGGACAGGTGGACTTCCTTTGGCATGAGGAAGCCGTTAAATGCAAATAGATGAAATTGAGCTCCAGTGATATCTTTGCTTAGTTTCTCACCAGTACTAATAATGCTTGAAACCCCCTTCCCATAATGCCTTTTCTAATGGAAGAGTGCAAGTCTATATATACAGAGCCACTCGGACATAAATCTCATAGAACAAAGTGTGAATTCGTTCTGAGTGAACATGTATAGCATTGCATTGTAAGACTGCTGGCTTCCTAAACTTCAGGGGTGGGGGGATGTGCCACTGCCCTGATTATTTTAGAGGGTTCTGAAAAAATACTCCCCCTCCTTGGTCATTTTAAAGGGTGCTTTTTATGCATTGTACTACAGTATCCATTGGAAATGGATCAAAGAATGGTGTGGACCCAGCTCCCTGGTTAAATGCCATCAAACTCAAGCTTCTGTACCGACTAGACTGGAAGTCCATCTGCTGGTACAAGGCAATCACTGTAAGCAGGATCTAGGGAAGCATCCAAAAGAATCAAACTTAAAGATAACAGGGAAAGAATTTAGTGTCCTGAAATCTCAGTTTTGGCTTACAACAAAGCAAGTTTCATAGCAGCCTTTATGGCTATGATGCTCATGCAATGTCTGCTGAAATTTCAGAGTGGCTGATTAAGAGGATCACGGTTGGCATTTCAGTACCTCATGTCACTCATTGCCCCCTCTCAATGATGATCAAAATCAGTACTATGCAAAGTAAGAAAAGCTGTGCAAGTATTGCTCAAGTCACATAATTTCTACATGACACAAATCATTTTTTCTTGGCACAGAATTTGGATTGCCTGAGAATCCAATTTTCATTCATTTATCATGGAACACCCACAACCCTGGGCCAAAAGCACCATGAAGCAATCCTATGTATGCCTACTCACAAGTGAGTCCCACTGAATCCAACAGGATTTATTTCAAGGCAAGGTGTGGCCTCCATAGGTAAATGGAGGTCCCACAAGGATCAGCACTGGGACCAGCGCTTTTCAACTTATTAATAAACCGTTTGGAATTAGAAGTGAGCAGTGAAGTAATCGAGTTTGCTGATGACATCAAATTCTTTATAGTGGCTTTAAAAAGGGTGGGATGGATTGCAAGGAGTTCTCAACTGGGAGAACAGGTATCAAAACGGCAAGTGTGCATCAATGTCAGCAAGGGTAAAGTGGCGCACATGGTGCAAAACAGCCCAACTTCACATATAAGCTCATGGGATCTGAGTGAGCAGTAAGTGATTGAGAAGGAGATCCTCGGGTTGTGGTGCCAAACTCAATGAAATGTCAACCTAGCATGTGCCAACAGTGAAAAAGGTACATTCCATGATGGGCGTGATTAGGAAAAGAGCAGAAAATGCTCCCATTGTACAAATCTATCGTGTATCTACACTTAGAACACTACATACCATTCTGGTCACCACATGTTAAAAAAGGGGCTGGAAGAAGTAAAGAAAAGGGAAACTAAAGTGATGAAGGGGCTGGAGCAACTCCTCTACAACATGAAGCTCATTGGTGGGAAATTTAGGATAGGTAACAGGAAGGTCTTTTTCACAAAGCACACAGTTAAACTTTGGTATTCACAATGTGTCGTGCTCTCCATCGATCTGGGTGGCTTTAAAAGGGTACTGGGCAGATACATGGAGGATAAAGCTACCAGGGGCAACATGCTCCCTGCAGTATCTGAGGCGAGATGTCCAGGTGTAGCGGTCGCTGGGGTACATGGGCAGCCAAGCGCTACTGCATTCCTTTCTTGCTTGTGAGTTTCCCATTGGTAGGTCGTCCGGCCCTTGTGTGAGCAGAATGCAGGACCAGAGGGGCCTGGGAACTAATCCATCGTAACTCTTTTTAGGCTATGTTTTGGCCTACAACTCCCATCAGCCAACACAGCCCATGGTGAGGGATTATCAGAGCTCAAAGCCAAAACATGTGGAAAGTTACAAGTTCCCAGACTGAGTATTTAGGACTCATCCTCAGTGTCACAAAACCTGCTTGGCCTAGCAAGCTTTTTTGTACATTATGAATTATAGCTGTAACCTCTAGACCAGTACTTTGCCCAGTGTTCCAAGGATATTTAGACAGAGTGGAGTTTAAGGGGTTTCCTATCTTTCATAATTACAAGCATCTGAAAATATACTGGCAGTTCACAGTTAAAGCCAAAGACTGTTCCACATATTACATGGTAGCAAATCCAGGATTATCACCACATAATGCATTTAATGGGGATCTATCATTATCCTGGTTTTCCAGTACATATGCATTTGGGTGACTCCCATTTGCTTCATTCATAGAAAAGTGTAATGTGCAGAATGGCCCCTAAATATCATACTGAGGATCTGGTATGGCTGAAAGTGAATGAAGGAAACGAGCTCACTCGGAACAGCTTCTTAAACCTCGTTATAACTTGCTCTCCATATTTCCAGGAGCTGAAAACTCTCCTTCCCTAGCATCAGCCCTGAAATTTAACAAAGGTCAAACTCTGCATGGGAAAACCTACCATTATCTAAACCATAGCAAGAGATTGTTCATGCATGCAAAGCAAGTGAGCTACAATGTGGTGATGGGGGCAGCTTTGCCCACATTAGCTTAGCCACTGCCTATGCTAGCTACTGGACTGGCTGAATAGCAGCTTCCAGAAAATCATGAGTACCTGAGAAAAGAACAAGTTTCTAGCTCTCAGGATTACTAAGAGAAATCTAAACATGTCCAGGCAGTTTCTGCTTGACACTTTAGAAACAGAAGGTAGTATTGAAGGATGTTCTGCTAAGTTAAGAGTTCTGCTAAGTTAAGAAATATGATTTACCTCCTCAAGAGGTGCTTTGGAGACACAGTTCTGTCTGCTTCCATTCCCCTAGTAGTGCACATCAGTTCAGCCCCACTGGAGACAAAATATCTTCTGCATGCTGTTTTGACTGATTATAGCCCAAACTCATGCCAGTTTCTCTCTTCTGCTCTAAACAACTTTAAGCAGAGACATGACCTACTAGTGGGGATGGCTAAGCAAAAGCGCTAAGCAAGGACGTCCCAATGAGGGGAATTTAAGAAGCTAGAAGGCAGCCTGAGTCAGAAGCAATGACATTACCTCTATTCTGTACAAAGCGACATAGAAAATGGTACCTCTGGGCTTGAGGTTCTAGCATTTGAATTCCCTCACCCCTCTGTAATTTTAGGAGTAGCATGTTTGTAATCATAGGCTGGGAAGGGGCAGGCATTCTGGAATTTTATGCATCATTCCCTCTGACATTCCTCAGGACAGAACAGCACCACTAGAGGCAGAAACGCCAACACAGCAACCACAGTAGCCCAGTAAAACTTCCATTTTTACTCCAAAACTAAAGAAAACACGTCTGTGGAACAGAACTGGGTGACAGAAGCCCCTTCAGATGCAATGCATGCTGTGTGTAATTTATCACCATCTGTCTGGTACATCACACATGCAGTCAGATTCACAACCAAATCAGAGCGACACAGCATTGCATGGGAGCCATTTATGGGACTGTTCTGGAAATAGGAAAGAGGGAGATATTCTAGCCGTTTAGAGGCATGAACATGTAGGGAAAACAGGGTCCCTCCTGCATTATTTCCTCTCTTATAAACCCTGGTCAGCACCAAGTCCAACAGGACCCAAAACTTGCTTTTACAGGAGAAGGAAGCCTCCAAATTTAACTCCCGACTGGAGAACGACTCATGGGCAACGGGGACATAGCCTACAGTTGCCCATTTCTGTCAAGGCACTGATGCTGGCTGAATCCCCACTCCATTGTACGGGATGGCTTAAAGGCAGAAAGATACAGGTCCACACAGCAGTCCCTCGGGTGGGGGCAGAGCTACCATCTCAGTCCCCACATGAAGCAGTCTGGGGGTCCTGGCGCACAAACCCTGTTCCTTACGCTGTGCTTAAGAGACCTCTGCATCCAATGCATAAATCCGTATCAAGTCCAAGACAATCTGGTCAATGATGCTCTTGGAGAGATCTTCACTGAAAACCTAGGAGGACAGAAAACCAGGTAGAGGAACAACATTCTACAGAGCAGGACAGGAACCAACAGACACCCACCCTTACTTTTCCTGCAACTTGAAAGTACTCTGAAAAATGGGTCAAAGTACTTTCTGCTGCTGCTTATGGTGCTGCGTATAGTGCATGCATCAAATTTCAAAACAATAAAAGCAACCTTTAAAGGTATGACCATTTAAAATCTCACACCGAGAGAGCAGGGACGAGTCACAACTCCAAGGACAGTCTTCCAGTTTGGGAGCAACCCAGGAGAATGTCCCTTTTGCATGCCCTGCAAGGAGGCCTGCAGTGGGAGGCATCTTCCTGCCCTACAGATCTCAGCAACTGGAACAGGCAGTCCTCCGGGTGTCCAGAGGCCACCCTCTAGGCCCTTGGAGCACCCCCTGGCTGTACTCCTGGTGGGGGCCCATGCATTCTACATGCTGCTGGCTTCTAATAGGCACCACAGGAAGCAAAACCTCTCCCAGATCAACATCATTCAGCACGATCCTCTGCCTCTGGTCTTTGTTGTCTGACGGCGCTGGCTCCACACATGGCATGCAGGAATCCCTTCCTGCAGTCCACAGAATTTGCAGGCACTCCAGTGCCCAAACAGGAATGGGCAAGAGGAGCTTCTAAGTGGCATCACTGAGGAGCCAAAGCTAAAACTTCAAGGGACATATATAGCTGTACCCATACAAAATATGAAGGCGTTGGCCAGTTCCCTGAGCAGTGCCCTCAAAGTGGGGGAGGTGGCAAAGCATCCCCTCCCGCCATTCCCACCCTCACATCAATGCCAACGCTACAGCACATCCTTGCCTAATAGGAGAAACAATGCAAGAAACAGGACTCGGCCGATTCCTGTTGCCAACATGCTGTAGGAGCCTGGGCAGCCCTTCTGCTTCTCCGAGAGGGGCCTCTTGGGGTGGGACCAGCTGAAAAGGCAGATCCATGCCCTGCCCTCCCATGTGCCTTGACTTGAAATGGCAAATGAATGGCAAATGAGGTCGGATTAACCTCGCTTGTGGGGCCATTTTCCCAGCTGCAATGGCCCTCCTGAAGAGGTCATTTGCTCCATCTCCTCATATGCTTTACCCCATGGGACAAACAGCAGCACAAGGGGGCAGGGGGGATGATGCACTTCAACAAGGAACACAATAACCCAGTCCTGATCCAATCTGAGGACACTACAGCTGGACTCATATCCAAGGAACCAAGTGGAAGGCCCAGTCACAGCTCTCCCAAGACTTGTCTCCTTTGGCCTCTGCATTTGAAGCACCCCCGCCCCCCCCATGGCATGTCGGGTGTGCACACAGGCCAGGTGAGTAGAGGGGACACCCCGACCACCTCTTCCTACCCTGGTCTCCTATCTTGCCCCTGCCAAGCAGGCAAGAGCAAACGCAGGACCAGTGGGGAAGGGGTAGCCCGACTCTGGAAACTTTTAGATGACAGCTGCCACCTGACCTTTGGTTTCGATGGCTGGGGCTGACGGGAGTTGAAGTCCGGCAACCGGGGAGTGCCATGGTTGCAGCAGGGACTGAGCAGCCAAGAAGCTGCTCTTCTAAGCCTTCCTGTTCAGCACTGGCTAAAGCTGTATGTTAAACGTGCACAGTGATTCCCGCCCAGACATGCCCCAAGACCAGGTCCAGCCTGGGCTGAGGAGGGACACCGCCCTACCTGGCCCCAGGCAGTGGCGTGCTCCATCCCTACCTGCCACCAAGGCCGCTCCGCTTCAGCATCGGCAGGCACCTCCACCCCGTAGCACTGCAGGGCAAGGTAAAGGACGGTCACGGCGATGTGCTGAGGCGCATGGCGCAGGCACAGCGACCCGTGGTAGCTGTCCCGCAGCAAGGCCCAGGCCGCCACGGCCACCGGGGTCCGATCCCAGCTGTGCCGATTCATCCAGTGCTTCAGGGACAGCAAGTAGTGGAGAAGGTACTGCATTGAAAGGAGAGCAGCTGTCAGGGACGGCTGGGGACATCACGAGCGACAGGCTGGTTGCCCGCCAACTTCTGCATGAGCCCTGTTTCTCTCAACACAGGCTGTGACACATGGCAAGCCTGCAGTGCGCTGTTCTCGGGGACCTCACCGACTTGCAGTGAGGGATGCGCCCATACGGAGAAGGCTGCTCCAACTGGAAATTTCCAGATTTCCAGACAAGTTTTACTCCGCTGTCCACCAATTCGTAGACAAAGGATTTGAGCAAATGAATTTGTGCAAATTTGCATCAGTGTTCCTTGCAATGTGGAAACTGGCCAAAAATACACCAATGCCCCATAATGTATATATTCACTATATGTGCATTTTTATCAGTTTTTTAATTTGCACGTGTTTTTGTGGCAAAATTTGAGCATAAGCATGCAAAACAAAAATATCAGTCCAGAAGCCCTGCAAACTCTGCATGGCCTGGGAAAGCCTGTGTGCTGCAGAAAGCACAGGACGGGCTTGGAGAAATCCAGACTCATCTGAGTCCACAGCAGATTCCTCTGGCAGCCCTAGTTGCAGTCTCCCTGCTCCAACCCCAAATAACCAAGAATGAAATCACACAGCTCTTCCTTCCCCCGCAGTCCCTTTTGTTGAATCCTCACAATGGCCCTGGTGGGGTAGAGAAAAGGACTTGCCTAAGACTGCCCAATGAAAGTTGGAACTAAGGTCTGCCTGGCCCAACACCCTATATCCACAGCACCTCCGTGGCTCGCTCTGGCAGAAGCCAGACATTCTCCAACAGGAGGGCATCATGGTTTTGGGAGAAGCTGTTGATCCTGAAGTCCCCCTAGCTGCTTTGTTAGCGGAACACTCAGTATATGACTCTTTAGTGTATTCAGGGGAAGGGGAATCACTTATTCTCAACACAACTGTGGCAAGGAATTTCAGCAAACAGAGTGACTTGTCCAGCAAGCTTCCAAGGCTTGACCAGGACTGAAATCCACCACTCGATTCACACAGCTGCTGAATTTCATTCCCAGCTGCACGCTCCACCGTCCACCGAGAAGGAAGAATCAGACACTCAGGCCCATGGCTCCCGGGTGGCCTGGCTCCCCGCAGCCCCACTTAGGATTCCTGGGTGCCATCCTTCCTCTCCGCTACTGTCCACCCTCCCTTCCCAGGGCACAAACCTTGACCTCTGCCCCACTCCCACTTCCCAACCCACGGGGGCCCATTCCCACCTGGGCCATGGTGGCAGATGCCAGAGGGCCAATCCCCCACGCTGAGGGAGGGACCCCTGGCCTCCCATGCAAGTCACGCACCCCCCGTTTCTGCCCGAGCCCCGTGTTGTGCAGCCTGCACCTTATGCGGGTGCTGGAAGGAGACACGGAAGCAGAGCACCCGTAGCATGAGCAGCTCACACTGGACAATGCTGTCCCTCAGCTCCCAGAAGTGGGTGTCAAGCTCCAGGGGGTCACTCTGGGGGTGCAGATATCTGGGGAGAGAAGACTCGGATTGATAAGGTGCATTTTGCAGGCCGCGATTACACTGACGTGGCTCGTCCTCTGGGCCTGCAGTCAATGGCCAAAAAACAAACGCCAAGACCCACATAGGCAGCCACTCCATCTAAGCTTCTGTTGTGACCTCACAATCATCTGTAATGAGAAGTGAACTCCACATGCACAGAGCCATTTCATGCTTTTATCACATGCATCTTTCATCACCTTTCCCACTCTCTGTTTAGCTACTTTCTGCTATTTTTTTCTCTCTCTCATCTCCTGCCTCCACTTCTCTTAAAAAATGACAGTGGTGTCAGGGGTGTGATCCACTTTAGGTCAAGAAGTGGCCAAACAACCCACTGAGCTGGCTTTCCTTAACCTGATGGCTTCCAGCATTTTGGACTACAATGCCCATGATCTCTGTCAGGGTGTACTGGAGAAGATAGAAGTTGTAGTCAAACCTTTCCGAGAAAGCCACATTAAATAGCTGACAGCACTGATTATGAAATGTAGCTAAAGGTTGCTATATATGGCTAAAATATGCCTAAGAGCCATATATGAAATATGGCCTAGAGTTACGATCTAAATTCCATAACTAAAAACACAACTCCCAGGATTCAAAGAAGCAGGCAACTAGTTCTTTGTGCCCAAAGGGGGCTTGTGCTTCTTGAACTGCAGTCCCCCAATCCAGAGTTTCAAACCATTTTGGTCTCCTTTTCAACTATGGAGAACCAAGTCAAGAGCTCACTGGGTATGCGCTAAGCCAGCTTGGAGCAGGCTAGGCTCATCTGAACCGGGGGGACCAAATATCAAGGCAGGTAGCATACAGTCTGCCTGACTCTGAAGGTCACCACAAGGCCAGGAAAGAATTTGCCTTGGTTAGTTTTGCCAACACACAGGCAGTTTTATCAAATCATAGACATGAATTGGTGGCATCTAAAACATCATGTCCAGTCCAGCATCTCCTTATGGCTCACTGGAAATTGCATAAGGAGACCCTGTAAAGAAAGGCAAACCCCAGGGACTCAGTTTTAGATTCATTGTGTTTCTAGTTTGTTCTAGTACAAATGTTTTAATCTAAAAGTTCACCCTGGAGCTATGCCCACTCTGTATCATGGCCACAGGAATTGTTTTCAAAACTGCAATTAAATTTTCATGTTTTGTATAAGCCACCCTGCAAGGGCAAAGGACCCTGAAAGGTGACCTAGCCATGTTTTAAGTAAATTAAGGGAACTGTATTTCTGCAGGCAAGGAAACTGTTGCCCTCGGCTTATGCCTGAGTTTGGTATGCTTGGTGGGAAAATGCCTAAACTGCTAAGAATTGCCTCCCTCCTACCTGCATAGCTATATATTAAGGTCGCACGTCGAGTTAGCTTTGCTAAGCAGCAAGTGGAGCAGGAGTCAGACTCAATAGCCCACTAGCCCCCCTCCAACTCTACTACTATTCTGTTCTACTCCTTGACCCTTTCCACTACTGAAATGTGCCCCTGATCCATCTTAGGCCCAAAGCCTCAGAAAAGTTCACCACCCCAATTTAAACAAATTGGATGCATGCCTGGATGCATGCACACCAGGGATAGGCAGCCTGGAGCTCCCTGGATACTTGGCACTACAATCCAAGACTGGGGCCATGGTGGCTGGGGCTGATGGGAGTTGCCTACCCCTGCTGTACACTGTGCCTGCATAGTGTGCTGAATCCCACCATCCTTGCATTGCCAAAAGCACAATCCCCGTTACCTGTGGCTCACGTTGATGATGTCCCTCGTCCGCAGATGCTGCTCTTCTACCTTCCCAGCCAGATAAAGGGCAGCCATAGCCACTAGGTAGGGATCGTACGGCTCCAGCGGCACCTCCGTGAAGAACCGGTGATAGATGGTGCATGCCGTGGCTACAGGGATGGAGCGCAGTCCCAGCTTCACACCTGGTACCCAAAGGGAGGTTCAGCGAGGCGGTTCTGGCTATTCCTGCCCACCCCCAGGAGGGCTGGAGAGCAGAAAGCAAGAGGGAGTCCTCTTTTGCTCAGGGGCAACTTGGTGATGGAGCAAGATAATACGGTCGCCTTGGGCGGCGAACTCCAGACCACAAGGCTACCAGTGACGATCAATTTGTTGGGAAGCTCTCCTACGCAAAAGGCTGCACAGCTCCCAGTTTGAAGCCTCTGGCTCGGGGTGAGGCAGCTGTGGCCCTCCAGAAATTGTGAGGGCTCTAACTCCCATCAGATCCAAGGCAGAGGAGAGAGGAGTTGTAGTCCAGCAACATCTGGGAGCCACAGTGTGCTCAGTCCTTTTCTTTCTGCAGCTCTAAGGAAAAATGATGTAAACTTGCTTCCACCTGCATTAACAGCAGGTCGTTTTCAAAAAAGGTACTGAAATTAAAATTTGATTACAGCTGCCTAATAAATGGGTCAACCACTTAAAGTGGTCAACCACAATGACCAACACTGCCCACTTGCCTCTTCCTTCCACTCCCACTGCTCACCCTTTTAATTTATAATAATTGTTATTGTTGTCACTACTTTTATACCCAGGCAGCTTACACAACCCTTCTCCTCTCCATTTCAAGTACACAGAGAATCCATGATTGGCCCAAAGTCACCCAGCGAGCATCATGGCCAGGTTTCCTGAGTCCGTCCCTGGCTAAAACTCCAACTATTATGCCACACCACTGTTGAGCCTGCCTTTGGCCCACAAAAGCAAGGCCCACTACCCACCAGGTCCTGTGCTTCCCAATTCACTTCCTTCCCTCCTGCATAGTCCCCCTTTCTTATCAGGACTGCAACTTGACTAACCAAGCAGGGGGAAGGTTCTTCAACTGGGTCCAAGTGGGAAGCAAAGCACAGAAGCCTCTCACCTGCCTCCATGATGAACCTGCAGACTTTGAAGTGTGTCCTAGCATCTGTGGATGCCTGCCCAGTCTCCTGCAGTCCGGCAGGATCCATGTTTCTCAGTGCGTCCCAGAACCCCTGGAAAGGAGCCAAAGCAACCAGTCAGCTCAGCAAATCCACTGTCACTCAGCAAGCCCCCAGCAACCTGTACAAATCAAGTCCTTCCTGCAGGATGCTATTCAGTTTGGCCCCACTTATTCACCTGACAATTCACTACCAGTCACTCTTTTTCCTCCCCAGGGCATGGGCAGTCTTCAAGGCCTGCACAGTCACAAAACACTGTTTCCAAATTAAGCACAGATATGGAGAGGTATTTGTACCTTTCCAGAAATATTTATAACCAACTGAAGGGTTGACAGGGGTGACAGCACTGTTGTATTTCCTGCCAGGAGGAAGTACACAGTGCAGCAAGTTAGGGCCATGCAGCAAGGACAACATAAAATGCAAACATCCCCATAACATTGTAATGCCACTTCACCCTATTTGAATCTGCATTTATTTATTTATTTAAAATATTTATATGCTGTCCTGTCGCGAAAGCCTCAGGACGGCTTACATAAATGAAATAACATAAAATATAACATGAATAAATTACCAACCCACACTGGTTGCAGTTAAAAACATATAGGAGACAATATTAAAACATATTAAAATATTGCTGAAATAAAAAGGTCTTAACCTTTTGGCATTCCAATATAGGGCTACACTATGGCTCACAATAATGCAACAGTTTATAGACATACACTAAAAATTATAGGGAATTGTGAATTGTGATGAAGTGGGCAGAAACAAATACCAGTTCACTGAAGAGCCCTAGTTTATTTCTAATAACTAATCTGTTTGAAGTTCTTACAAAAATACTGACATATTCTTGGTCTGATCCTGCAATGCAAGGATGGGCAGAAAATAGATTTCCAAATGTTTTGGACGTCAGTTCTCAGCATTCCTGAAGATTGGTCATGTTAGTAGAGGATTCTGGGATTTGAACTCTCAAACATCTGGAGAGCTAAACTTCTGCCCATCCCTACTGTAATGCCTTGCACTTTCATTTATGAAGTTTATGGGGGGTGTCTCCAAATAGTTACCCAAAAAGCCAAACATTAGCTTCAGTAGGCGATGCCCCAACAAGCAAAATAATCACATTGGGGGGCGGGGGTCAGAAGGCAGGGAATACAAATTACCATGTGGATAGTTTCAATATTGTCTTTCAAATCCTTCCAGTAATAAAAGTAAATACATCAAACAAATTCCCAGAAGGGCATTACATAAGTGCAGGTGAGCCACACATTACAGTAAATTTGCACTTCCAGTTGTTAGGAACCTTACGCACTCCGGATCAATGAATAAATTGACTGTGCTAATACTGATTTAAGCAATCCCGAGAATGGTCTGTGCATTTGGGGTGATGGAGAGAAAGCAGACCTTGGCCAGCTGTGATAGCAAAATCCCTAACCCAGCTTCCCCCGACCCGGTGCCTTCCAGATGTTTTCAGCTACAACTTTCCTGGTCTCTCAACACTGGCCGCGCGCTGTCTGCGGCTCTTCGCCTGGCCAACAGGACCGCTAGTGCGGTGGGGCCTATTGAGCTGCCACCAGCAAGATAGGATGTGGGAAGACGTCATGCAGCCTGCTGCCATCAGCTTCCCGTACCAGAGGGGGTGACATCACAGCCCATCCACAGTCCTCCTGTGGGCCGAACCGACCACGGGCTCCATGGGAGAGGCGGCCGATTCCATCAGCCCCGCCAGTCACTCGCAGGCCGCCCCCGCAGCCAGGCGGTCGCCCCACCGTCCGCCCACCCGCGCACCCTCGGAGTGCCCCCGCCACCCACCGGCGTGCTCACGCACCGCTCGTTCGCCCCCGGCCTAGTCGCGAGAGGCAGGCAGCTCCGCAAGCGGGCGAGGGCTCGCGGGTGGAGCGAGCAGCGGCAGCTCCCCGCGCGCCCCCGCCTGCCTTCACGAGGAGAGGGGAAGCTGGCCGGCCATGCTGGCGCGCTGGGAGCGCGGCGGCCAGCCCACGTGGTGCATCACGTGGCGAGGCCGGGCTGGGCGCGGCGCGGCGCGGCGCGAGGCAACCCACGTCGCGGTAGGTGCCTGGTTCCTTGGGGAGGCGGGCGACGGTCCCGTGTCGCCTCCCGTGGTGCGCTTCCTTTCCGGGACTCCTTCCGAAAAGCCCTCTGCCCCGCTGCTGACACATGAGCGGGGAAAGAGGAAACCCTATACAGCAGACTTGGCCAAGCTAGGGGATGCTGGGAATTGCAGTCCAGCACATCTGGAGGGCACCACGTTGGCTAAAAACACTTTGAACAACTGTACGCTGCCGCCTTCCCCGGACTTTCACTTTTTCCTCCCCTGTTCGTGCTCTCTTCCTCCCTGCGTCCCCATCCCGCCTCCGGTTCAATCCATCTTGCAGCCCCACCTTTCTTTTTTTCCACCTCCCCTCCTTTTTTCCACCCCCCCCCACCCCCGTGGCGCCTCGGCCTATTTCTCTTACAGTGGATGGGCTCAAATGAATTGTCCTTCAAACCACGATAAATACTGCGACTTTTCCGAATCCTGCACTTTGCGAATCAAACCAAGTGCCCACCAGAGCTGAGATACAAGCCCCGTTTCCGCCTGGCAGCCACCCAGCAAACAATTTAATAGGAAGTACAGATTTCCCCTCTACTATCCTAGGCGGAGTGAAAAGCAATCAGCTGAATCACAATCACTTTTTTTCTATCACTTTCCGCCAATATAATGCTTATAACCTTCTGCTTTGGAAACAGCATCAAGGCAAACTCAAACGTTATGCCCAATAATACTTTCCTTCCAAGGACGAAGCAATGGTCAACTTAATCCCCCCTTTTCCTTTCCTCAAGTCATATCAGCATGAGTCTTTTAAAAATGCAAATATAATAGAAACAAACAAAGTGAAGAAATGGAAAGGTTTTGACCTGGTCTTTGTTTAGGAATTAAGATGTTTAGGACATTTGATCATTTAAATCAACACAACGCAGGGTATACCATAAGAAAGTTTTTACCAGGTAGTGCGCCCGGACAACATATGTCACTGCCAAAACCACCGCTCCTGCAGGGTGGTCACTGCATGAGCTCTCCAGAGAACTGCCTAATCCAAATGCTTCCCTTTGAGGAGGTCCTTCCTCAGAGAAGGCATTGTGGGAAAGGTGACCACAGAGAACAAACGTGCTATTTTCTATGTATGTAGATTATGTCCAGACAAGAGCGTTCAATCGTGTCAGCCCCCACCTGCAGCCTGGAGTGGTACAGGCCAGACGCAGGGTTAGCACCTCATGCAACAGCCTATCTAGGCTGCGTAGATGTCCATAAACTGAAAGACATTGTAGCATGTGTTCCAGAACGGCTCCCCGCTAGAGGGCGCTGCTTCAAAATTTAACTACAAATGTAGTCTTGAATAACACTAGAGCATAATATTCATTCTCTGGGTACATATAAACTTCTTGAGTAAACAGGATCGCGTTGCATAGGTAGAAACTACGCAGTGGGATACACTGTGACTAAGCCAAATGTGATTCCAAATTAGGCTTTTACATAAATTTATGTCATTTTCAATTTGTAGCTCTCCCATGTTTTCTCACTTCTATCTGGAACAGCTTCACAATGGATTTTGAGTGTTTGCCCCAAAACAAAGCACGTGTAAATGAAACAATTGCATATATGGCTTCCCTGTTTACCACTGCCTCCACTCACCCCTCCTGCCCCATCTTTTCTCTTAGGTTGAAGTTTAGAATGCAAGCTCTTTGGGTAGGGACCTGGACTCTTACTCTGGAAAGAATCATGGTGCATAATAAATAATATACCATTTACCCTTTGGGAAGCCTCTGAACCATTTGTACTATTGGCTAAACAGTAGGACACATTTACATGCTGACTTGTCTTGCTTAGGGTTCTGGGGTCACAATCCATAGTTTTCCCTTTTCACCCTTAAAACTCTCCTGTTCGTTTTCCTCAGCCCAGAAAGTAGGGAATGGAATATAGGACTGGGGGGGGGGGGTCAGAGAACCCGCAGCTGCTGCACCTCCTGGCTCACCTACAAATTGAAAGGTAAAGGGGGAAATTCCTATTTTTCAGTATGACATCCCTATGCATTCTCCCAGTGGAAACATGGCACTAGAGATGTGAATAGTTGGTGGTGTGGTGGGAGAAACAGAACAAAAGAAAAGAAATTTCCTCAAGTTTTCCAAAAGTCTGGAGAGAAGGAGGTGCTTTTGTTTTGTTTTTTGTTCAGTCTGGCAAGTTCCCATTTTTCCCCTTTCTCCTCCCATCCCAAGGACTTCACATCTGTATCTGCACCCCAACCAGGAGCACATGGTCTTAGATTCTCCTGGATCTCCCCTAGCAGATGATTAAACCCATGTTGGTCTGACATTTTCTTCCATCAGTCCTCTGGGGTGCCAGCAGACAAGTGCTAATTAAAGCAACATATATATATGTAATGGACTACAGAGACAGGTTGTTCCAAGGCATCATTTTCCATTTTTGGAGTAAATCACTTCAGTTAGATGGTTATTGAGGAAGTTGACTGTGATGAACTGGGACAAATCTTTCCAAATCAAGTCTTGGTTGCAGTGAAAAGGCCAAAAGTTCTGTGGCATCTGGAAAGCTAACCAATGGATTGTGAGATGCACTTTCAAATTCAGTCAGCAGTGTATTTTCCCAGATATATATAGTAAACTGGGGAAAACATGAGTGTATAAGCACACCCTCAGAAGTACAATGGGGAAAAGCTCCCAGTCGATTAGAGACAGCATAAAGGCAAGGAACACATCCTGAAAGCAGAAATGCAGGACATGAACAAAGCATGACCTACATTTACTAGGGCATCGGTGCTTGAATACCATGTGGCCCAGTGGACAGCGCTGCGGAAACCTTTGCCTAAGGAAACCTAGTTTCTAATTCCACCACCATAATCCAAGTTATCTTTTAGTATCTGTATGGGACGTAACAGATTCTCCAGGTTCGGATTACAATTTTATGGCTTCTTGTGTTCTGGCACAATCATAGCACACACAGCTCTGGTGCTAACAGCTTATATTGTTGTCATAGTTATTTAAGTTATTCCAATAAAGGTGTGTAGGTCATTGTACTATAAATAAGCTGATTTGTGGGGAGTAAAAAAAGTGCTTAACTTGGGGGAGGATGTCACAGGGATGCCCAGTGCTCCTACCTTTTATGACAACCCTCTTAGCTACAGTTTTTAGAGAGCTATGAGAGCAGGATGATTTGATTAAAATAGTCAGGATGTGGGGCTTCTGGTGGTAGGATCCCCCTTTCCTTCTTGAAGCATAACTGGAAGGAATTGAAATGGCTCTCTGCAGGTCAGCCAGGGACCAGGTCATGCCAAGCTGCAGTGACGTGCAGAACAGACTTTTGTTGATTCCTGCCCAGTCCCATTCTTCCATACTCCCATCAGTAATTAATACTTGTGTGCAGCTGACATCAATCAGAGCAATATAACCTTGAGGGAGGCATCTCAGACCAACCAGCTGCCCACATGGGTCAGAAGAGGGAGGGAGGAGCTACAACCTGGCCATGCACTGGGCTGGATTCAGCTCCAGCAAGAGGGTGTCACAAGCATCCAGACTTCAGAGAAAGAACCCCGAGTTCTGCATGAGAAGCTACTGCAGAACATGGCAGTGAGAATGAACTGAGCCTTCAAAGGAGGTCACAGTGTGTCACTGGGGGAAGGAGGTGGTTCTGAAGGAGTGATGAGAACTGAACGGCACTGTGCCAATTCTGTACATTAGCAGAAAAGCATTCGTGGGTAATACGAGGCTGTGGACAGATAAGCAACACGGTGGGTCAAGGGGCTGGAGCAACTCTGCCCTACAACTGTTGAGATGGTTGAGCTTAGAAGGATAAGCTTCTAGATCAGTTTCTTCTGTCTTCCTGAGAACATCCACACTGTGCTCATCGGGACAGCAGGAGGGGTGTTGGACCTCTGTCAGCCCAAAGGGCAAGTTTTGTTTTGGAGAAGTTCATTTTGTGTCGGGTGGGGCAAAATACTACAGAATCCATCCCACTGTAGCTTCTGGCTCTTGCTCTCTGTAACTATCATTTAGGAGAGTGCTGGGTGACCTGCAAAAACCAGGAGACTAGCAGACACATTTTGGTGGGGGGCGGCGGGGGAGGCTGGTGGAAAGCATTCAATCTGCTTTGCACAATCTGCCCATCTACTTTAGCCAATGGGATGCCTCTGGAAGTTCACAAGCAGGGCAGGAAGGAACAGTGGTCACCTCCTGTTCTTTGGCCCCAGCCAGGGCTCACACAGACACAGACCTGGCCCTTTTTATTGGCAGGGGTGCTGGTGTCATCCACTAGCTCCACCTCATCAGAGGCCTGTGCTTCCACCTAAGCTGCAGTCTCCACAGCTGCCTTTGAACGTAGTTTCTCTAGGTGCTGCCTTTGAACACAGTTCTGGTTATACCAGCTAAACATTCAGAGCAGTGAGTGAACATCAAATTCCATGCCAGAGGTGTTTTCCAGTTCAAGGAATTATTTCACTTACTCGCTTAGGTGGCTTAAACAAATGAGCCCAGCCAAAGCCAAGAAGAAAGTTGCTGTCTATTCCACCTCCACCACTATTACCAAATTTATTACTAGTCTGACTCTGAGAGCCCTTTTTAGGGCCAAAGAGCAGTATCAAAATAATTTAACCCTATATCTGATAGTGAACTCCTTCTGTCAGTGTCGAATGTAGCCAATCTTCCATGCAATGCC